ATCCTACCCTCAAAAGCTGCTAACACTAAACTTATACCCAAATAAGTGAATAGTCAATTAAAATAAACAGTGTAGGGCTAATAAATAATATATATATATGAATATCCAGTGAATAAGTGATTACAATAAACCAACTCAATATACACCCCCTAGGTATATATATCCGGAATGATAAACAAAGAAATAAGTAATAGTGTCATGCGTGAATTCCCTCGTGGGGAATATCCAGTGCAAAAAGTGACAAATACAATCTTAATACATTATAGTGGCAAAAAAAACCATACGGTGCTCAAAATTGGTGAACCAATATTCAATTGCAAAAAGTCCAAACAATATAATAATGCGATGCTTTATGGTGGTCTTCCCACTCCACTCTTCATGCAAAAGTAATGTGCAGTGTGCGTGATTCACACGTGCCAATCCTTTAACGGCCAAAATGCCCCCTCACCTCCTTACTTAGACCCCACGGGGCCAGCACGCTTTGAGGATCAAACGATCCTATCAGAACGGATTCCTCTCTGGATTTCCCCTTTCACCTCCAGCGTCTACCAGACTAGCAGCCAGCTCCTCCCAGGGTCATAATGAGACACAAGCAGAGACCCTCCATAGTGCAACCAGTTTTATTAGGTAAATAAACAAATAGAAAGAGTTCCACTCACATTAGCCACGACTTGTTCCAGCTTCCTACCACATGCTATGGGTGTACTGCATGGGTATTACAACAGGGTGATCCAATATGGCCCCCACGCCGGAAATGACGTCACCGCATTAACGGAAGCTCCTCCCCACGTACCGACACATTGCGTCACGTTCAACACCTGATGAAGTCACGTGACCCTGATGAAGTCACGTGTTGAACGTGACGCAACGCGTCGGTACGTGGGGAGGAGCTTCCGATAACGCGGTGACGTAATTTCCCGCGTGGGGGCCATATTGAATCACGCACACTGCACATTACTTTTGCATGAAGAGTGGAGTGGGAAGACCACCATAAAGCATCGCATTATTATATTGTTTGGACTTTTTGCAATTGAATATTGGTTCACCAATTTTGAGCACCGTATGTTTTTTTTTTTTGCCACTATAATGTATTAAGATTGTATTTGTCACTTTTTGCACTGGATATTCCCCACGAGGGAATTCACGCATGACACTATTACTTATTTCTTTGTTTATCATTCCGGATATATATACCTAGGGGGTGTATATTGAGTTGGTTTATTGTAATCACTTATTCACTGGATATTCATATATATATATTATTTATTAGCCCTACACTGTTTATTTTAATTGACATGCAGGGAGGTGTAGCTCTCAGTTGGAGGAGTGCAGGGTGTCTGTAGTTCTAAGTTGGAGGAGTGCAGGGTGTCTGTACATGCTGGGAGTTGTAGTTCTCAGTTGGAGGAGTGCAGGGTGTCTGTAGTTCTAAGTTGGAGGAGTGCAGGGTGTCTGTAGTTCTAAGTTGGAGGAGTGCAGGGTGTCTGTACATGCTGGGAGTTATAGTTCTCAGTTGGAGGAGTGCAGGGTGTCTGTAGTTCTCAGTTGGAGGAGTGCAGGGTGTCTGTACATGCAGGGTGTCTGTAGTTCTCAGTTGGAGGAGTGCAGGGTGTCTGTACATGCTGGGAGTTGTAGTTCTAAGTTGTAGGAGTGCAGGGTGTCTGTACAGTTGTAGTCTCAGTTGGAGGAGTGCAGGGTGTCTGTACATGCTGGGAGGTGTAGCTCTCAGTTGGAGGAGTGCAGGGTGTCTGTACATGCTGGGAGGTGTAGCTCTCAGTTGGAGGAGTGCAGGGTGTCTGTACATGCTGGGAGGTGTAGCTCTCAGTTGGAGGAGTGCAGGGTGTCTGTACATGCAGGGAGGTGTAGCTCTAAGTTGGAGGAGTGCAGGGTGTGTAGCTCTCTCAGTTGGAGGAGTGCAGGGTGTCTGTACATGCTGGGAGTTGTAGCTCTCAGTTGGAGGAGTGCAGGGTGTCTGTACATGCAGGGAGTAGTGTAGCTCTAAGTTGGAGGAGTGTAGCAGGGTGTCTGTACATGCTGGGAGTTGTAGTTCTCAGTTGGAGGTGTGCAGGGTGTCTGTACATGCAGGGAGTGTAGCTCTCAGTCATGTACATGCTGGGTGTAGCTCTCAGTTGGAGGTGGGCAGGGTGTCTGTACATGCAGGGAGGTGTAGCTCTCAGTTGGAGGTGGGCATGGTGTGTCTGTACATGCAGGGACGTGTAGTTCTCAGTTGGAGGAGTGCAGGGTGTCTGTACATGCTGGGAGTTGTAGTTCTCAGTTGGAGTGTAGAGTGTCCATGTGTGCTGGGAGTTATAGTAGTTCTTCATGAGTTATTACCTTTTGGGAGTTTTAATTTTCTCTCAGCTACCCCACCCTCCTCCAACTGAGAACTACAACTCCCAGCATGTACAGGCACCCTGCACTCCTTTCAGTGGTTGTGCCAAGTCATGGTGACTGACTCCTCAGACAATACTAGGAACTGTGACTCGCCCAGGGTGGAGGCCTCGGGGGAAATCCCATCAGACGTAAAATTTCCATCAGAGCGGAATCTGTTTTTCGCCCCTCCAGGCCTCCGACCTGTGCGAGTCACAATTCCTAGTATTGTCTGAGGAGTCAGTCACCATGACTTGGCACAACCACCGCAAGGAGGGACAGCATGCCTGTACATGCTGGGAGTTGTAGTTCATTAGTTGTAGGAGGGTAGGTACCTGTACATGCTGGGAGTTGTAGTTCTCCATTAGTTGGAGGAGGGCTGGTACCTGTACATGCTGGGAGTTGTAGTTCTCTATTCGTTGGAGGAGGGCAGGGTACCTGTACATGCTGGGGGTTGTAGTTCTCCATTCGTTGGAGGAGGGCAGGGTACCTGTACATGCTGGGAGTTGTAGTTCTCCATTCGTTGGAGGAGGGGGGGGGTACCTGTACATGCTGGGAGTTGTAGTTCTCCATTCGTTGGAGGAGGGCAGGGTGCCTGTACATGCTGGGGGTTGTAGTTCTCCTTCCGTTGGAGGAGGGCAGGGTGCCTGTACATGCTGGGAGTTGTAGTTCTCCATTAGTTGGAGGAGGGCAGGGTGCCTGTACATGCTGGGAGTTGTAATCTTCCATTAGTTGGAGGAGGGTAGTGTGCCTGTACATGCTGGGAGTTGTAGTTCTCCATTAGTTGTAGGAGGGAAGGGTACCTGTACATGCTGAGAGTTGTAGTTCTCCCTTAGTTGTAGGAGGGAAGGGTACCTGTACATGCTGGGAGCTGTAGTTCTCCATTAGTTGGAGGAAGGCAGGGTACCTGTACATGCTGGGAGTTGTAGTTCTCCGTTAGTTGGAGGAGGGCAGGGTACCTGTACATGCTGGGAGCTGTAGTTCTCCATTAGTTGGAGGAGGGCAGGGTACCTGTACATGCTGGGAGCTGTAGTTCTCCATTAGTTGGAGGAGGGCAGGGTACTTGTACATGCTGGGAGTTGTAGTTCTCCATTAGTTGGAGGAGGGCAGGGTACCTGTACATGCTGGGAGTTGTAGTTCTCCATTCCATTAGTTGTAGGAGGGTGTGTACCTGTACATGCTGGGAGTTGTAGAAGGGCAGGTACCTGTACATGCTAAGAGTTGTAGTTTTCCATTAGTTGGAGGAGGGCAGGGTACCTGTACATGCTGGGAGTTGTAGTTCTCCATTAGTTGGAGGAGGGCAGGCTACCTGTACATGCTGGGATTTGTAGTTCTCCATTAGTTGGAGGAGGGCAGGCTACCTGTACATGCTGGGAGTTGTAGTTCTCCATCAGTTGTAAGAGGGCAGGCTACCTGTACATGCCGGAAGTTGCAGTTCCTTCAGCTGGAGGTGGATAGGGTGCTGAAGAGAGAACTACAACTGCCAGCATGTAGAGATGCCCTGCCCTCCCCGCAGTCATTGTGCCGACTCCAGCTCCTCCAGGAAAGGAATCGGGAATTGAGACAAATCCGAGGGGGGGGGGGGGGGGGGAATTAACCATTTCAGCACCAGCAACACGTTCAGTATGGGTGGAGCAGATTTTGTGCCCTCCAGCTTATCAGGCCAGACACAGCTCTTATCTCAGCAGGATTCTACATAGGACCAGCCATGGAGGCCGATACCACCACCAAGCTCTGCGTCTGAACATGCTGTCATGCTGATCCTTTCTGGGCCCCTCACCTGAGGAGAGGCAGGGACGTTCTAGAACACACAAGCCTGATCTGCACACTTATTCTGTGTAGGTATGACAGCCAGGCAGGCAGCATTTTCTGGAGGTCACAAATAGTATCCCTGTAGGATTCCATCCTACATGTCTGGCTTGCCCTCTAGCCCCTCCCACTGTCATGCTGATCCTCTGCTCTCCAGTGCCACCTTTCAAATTCCAGCTGTGGGGACACTGATCACTTGTGGGCGCACCTGGCTACCTCCTCCTTTAAATGCGCTGTGTAACTGAGCAAGTCCACCAATCAGAAGGGCGGAGCTTCTGATTTACATACGTGTCTGGGGTCAGAAATACCATACATACCAAGCCAGAGGATCAGCATGACAGGCAGGCCACTAGTATTTTTCATTAGAGCTTGTGTATGCTCATGGACAGGTCACCTTTAAAAAAAAGTCATTTTAAAAGGCAAAATTCAGGATTGATAAATTTAGCATTTTTTTTAAAGCGCAGAGGGCGGAGTCACCATTATCTGCATTTTATATGTTCTTATCCCCAAAATCCCAAATGTAATGCTGCTGTCCAACCAATAGGAGTTCAGGGTGGAGCAGACGGCAACCTCCACCATTCCTGTACAAAATGATGAAAAACTGAGATCACAAGTGAAAGATTCCATTTATTGGATACAAAGTGACCCCCCCACAGCGATCCCCCCCAACCACAGAGCCTCCTACAGACAATTTACAGAACATCAGCTCCGCCTCTTCTTGTTTTAAAGGTGGAGCATCATGAGTAATCGGCTGCAGGCGATACCTGCGTCCAGCGGGACCCCCTAGAGCGTCACGAGCCGCCATCTTTGTTGCAATACGGCGTTCATTTCTGCGCTTTCAGCAGCTCCTCGATGTCCGGACGGATGTTGATGGTCTCGAAGCGCCGACTGTAACGCTTGTACGGAACTCCATCCGGCCCGATCAGGAATTTCTCGAAGTTCCAAGAGATGTCGTTGCGGCGAACCGGCGACCAGATGATGCTCTTGGGGTCGGTCATGAGAGAGACGTGGTCGTCGCTGGGGGAGGGGAGAGCCGACTTCAGGAAGGTGAACAGCGGCAGCTCCTTCTCCCCGTTGACGTCACACTTCTCGAAGAGAGGGAACGCCGGCTCAAAACCGCCACCGGCCGAACATACTTCAGGGAGTTCAGGATCTCCTGGTTGGAGCTGTTCTCCTGCGGGAGAGAGACGTCATCAGACACCACACACAGACAGACAGGATTGTGACCAGAGTGCCTCCACGTGGCCCCAGGTAGCACCCCCCACCCCCATCTGTGGCCCCCACTAGGTAACATCTCCTCAACGCAATGTGACCCCCCCCCCCCCCCCATCTGTGGCCCCCACTAGGTAACACCTCAACGCCATGTGACACCCCCCCCATCTGTGGCCCCCACTAGGTAACACCTCAACGCCATGCGACACCCCCCCCCCCCCCCATCTGTGGCCCCCACTAGGTAACACCTCCACAATGCCATGTGACCACCCCCACCAGATAGCACCCCCCTCTCCACCAGGCAACATTCCCTCTCTCCCCACCCATGTGACACCCTCCAGGTAACATCCCCTCTCCCCCAAGCCATTTGAGGCCCCCACCACGCAACACCCCCTCCCTCAACACCATGTGACCCCCCCCACCAGGTAACACCCCTACCACCCCAAAGCCATGTGATCCCCCACCAGGTAAGACCCTCTCCCCATCACCATGAGACCCCCCCCCCCCCCCCATCAGGTGCCCCCCCCCAGGTAACACTCCCACGACCACCATGTGACACCCTCTCCCTCCCCAACACCATGTGACCCCCACCAGGTGCCCCCCCCACCGGTGCCAACCCCCTTCCACCAGGTAGCACTCCCAGTCCCCACCATGTGACACCCCCTCCCTCCTCAACACAATGTGACCCCCACCACTTAACACCCCCTTCTCCCCAATGCTATGAGATACCCCCTAGTTAACCTCTTCAACGCCACGAGACTCAAGAGCAAGTAACACCCTCACCCCCCTCCACCAGGTAACACCCCCACTCCCCAACACCATGAGACCCCCACCAGGTAACACCCCCCTTGCTCCCCCTCCACCAAGTAACACCTTCAGTTCAACACCATGTGACCCCCACCACTTACCCCCCTCTCCCCAACACCACGAGACCCCCAGCAGGTAACACCCTCACTCCCCAACACTATTAAAAGTGCAGCCCATCTGCATGTTTTACTGCCCCCCTCAAAAGTGTAGAGTAGCGTCTCGCTGTGCTCATCACAGCAGGCGCTCTATGGCTCCATCAGTGTCACATGGCTGCACTGTACTACAGTGACACCCAACACCTGTGTGACACCGAGAGTCATAGGGCACCTGCTGTGATCAGGATGAGGATGATGAAGGAAGATGAGCACTAGAAGGCGTTATATGGGAGAAAGGAGGGAATGGGGAGTGCAGAGAGATGAGGTACCCTATATATGTGTGGGGGGGGGGTGAAGGTGGAAAGCAATACAGGGATATGAAGGGGGCAGGGATACGGGGGGGGGGGGGTGAAGGTGGAAAGCACTATGGAGAGAATGGGGAGCACTCATGGCTGTGGGGGGTGGGTGGGAAGGTGGAAAGCAGTATGGGGGGGTATGTAGAGAGGATGGGGAGCACTCATGGAAGGGGGGGTGGAAAGCACTATGGGGGGCATGTGGAGAGAATGGGGAGCACTCATGGCTGTGGGGGGTGGGTGGGAAGGTGGAAAGCAGTATGGGGGGGTATGTAGAGAGGATGGGGAGCACTCATGGAAGGGGGGGGAAAGCACTATGGGGGGCATGTGGAGAGAATGGGGAGCACTCATGGAAGGGGGATGAAAAGCAGTATGGGGGGGCATGTGGAGAGAATGGGGAGGGGGAAGGTGGAAAGCACTATGGGGGGGGGGTATGTGGAGAGAATGGTGAGCACTCATGGAAGGGGGCCGGGGATCACCATGTAGGTGTATGAAGGACACGAAGGAAGACATTGGGCACTAGGAGAATCCCAGGATCACCATGACCTATAGAAGCCAATCGCCTTCACTGACCAGATGAGGAATGAAATCCGATTGGCTGCTCTGATCTACAAATTAGACCGCAGGATGAGGGTGACAGAGGGCAATGATGATCTACATTGGGCACTACACCAACCCATCGCAAATGGACGTCACCGACTGGCTGATACCCCCAGAGAGCGACCCCTGAGGATGAGCATGGAAGACCGCCATCCCCAGCCTCTCCTCCTGGATAATCCCTGTTCCCCGGCTGTCCTCTCGAACCTCCAGCTTCAGTCACTTCCCATCCTCTGAACCAGCATGCAGCCAGTGAAGTCTGATCTGTAGGCCGATCTAGAGTTAGCCATACACACGCAGATTTTCAGACGAGAACATTCGTGCAAAAGATTCTTTGGACTGTCATTTGAAAATTGTCATCTGCTTTTAATATTCAATTTTAAAATTAATGTCATTTCTGAACGATCTCCACATACACTGGCCAAAAAATTCGTTTGATCGAGAAAAGTTTTCCTTCCTGCCCCTTCGAATTTTCCCGTCACTGCCGTCAAAAGCGAACATCGATTTAACCCCTCACTAACGATTAGAAAATCAAACGACTATTCTCGAATGAAGAACTATACGTGTATGGCCAGCTTATGGGGGAGAAGCCGGGGGATGGGGATGACGGCGGCCCAGCGCCTCCACTCACCTGGTGCCCGAACTGGTTGCAGGGGAAGCCGAGGACCTGGATCCGGTCCCGGAAGTCGCCCTGCAGCTGGTTGAGTTGCCGGTAATCCCTCTCGGTCGTCCCTCAGAGTGACGCCACATTCTCGATGAGAAGGATCTTCCCCCGATACCGGTCCAACCCGACCGACTCCCCGGACAGGAGCCGCGCCGAGAACTCGTACACCGACCGCATCGACATCATCGAACGACCGATCATCGCACCGACCTCCACCGCTGCGTAATATATGAGCCACGCTGTGCGACCCCGCCCACAACTGAGCACGCCCACGCGAGGGACGGGCTTACTGACCTCTCCCATACAGTAACACTCCCACTTAGGATGGGCTAAATAACCCCGCCCGCTCCGGGACACACCCACAGAGGACAGACTCGCCGGCCCCGCCTCCTCCTGAGCGCAGCCGAAGTACGGCCTCCCTGACCCCGCCCTCTTTTGGGCGGAGGTGAAGGCATGGGTCGCTCTGCTACGCCCCACAACTGAGGCCAGGTCCGCCCCTGTTGGCTTAACTGACCAATAGTGAGTCACGGGAGGGCGGGGCTTGATAAAACAAAGCATTCAGCCCTCCACTGCCACCTGCCGCTGGATTTCCAGGTCTGCAGCTAGTGTGACATTTTAAAGGGGAACACCACCTTCACGGCAGAAGGCACTCTAGCAGGCACAGAGCCCTAAATTCCCACCCCCTGCAAGTGTGATTGGCTCATTTCCATTCTCAGAAGTTGGCATAGAGCTTGAACTCCAGTTCCTGACATCCCCCGCGGAGGACAAAACTAGTTTATGGCAGTGCTGAGAAAAACGGGTGTGTGTTAGAGTTTTTGTGCTACACATATTTATTTCAGCCCTACTCATGACAAGAATGAAGACCTTATAGGGCATTTGTGGTGCCTGGTAGACCTTGTGGGATGTGATCGTATGATGGGCTCTTATGATGTCTGGTCGACTTTACAAAAATGACTGTCCAATGGGCTTTTGTGGGGTCTGGTAGACCTTCTAGGGCTTTTGTGGGATCTGGTAGACCTTGTAGGGCATTTGTGGTGTCTGGTAGACCTTGTAGGGCTTTTGTGGGGTCTGGTAGACCTTGTAGGGCATTTGTGGGGTCTGGTAGACCTTGTAGGGCATTTGTGGTGTCTGGTAGACCTTGTAGGGCTTTTGTGGGGTCTGGTAGACCTTGTAGGGCTTTTGTGGGATCTGGTAGACCTTGTAGGGCTTTTGTGGTGTCTGGTAGACCTTGTAGGGCTTTTGTGGTGTCTGGTAGACCTTGTAGGGCTTTTGTGGTGTCTGGTAGGGGCCTTTTGTGGTGTAGGGACCTTTAGGGCTTGGTGTCTGGTAGACCTTGTAGGGCTTGTTAGGGGTAGACCATTTGCGGGGTCTGGTAGACCTTGTGGGACATGAACGTATGGTAGCCTTTTGTGGTGTCTGGTCGACCTTGTGGGATGTGATCAGGGCGGACTGACAACTCATGGGGCCCCCGGGCAACAGGGGATCATGGGGCCCCTGTGTCCTTGCCCACACCCAAAAAAGCCTATGAAAAAGCCAATGAAAGGTACCAGGAGCATCTCATGGGGCCCCCTACTGACCCCGGGCCCTCAGGCAGTGCCCGAGTGCTCGAATGGTCAGTTTGCCCCTGGATGTGATCGTATGATGGGCTCTTATGATGTCTGGTTAACCCTACAAAAATGACTGTCTAATGGACTTTTGTGGGGTCTGGAAGACCTTTTGTGGTGTCTGGTAGCCCTTATGGGAAATGACCATATTAATGGTTTTTGTTGTATCTGGTAGACCTTGTGGGATGTGACCGTATGATGGGCTTTTGTTGTGCCTGGTCGACCTTGTAGGGCTTTTGTGGTGCCTGGTCGACCTTGTGGGACATGACTGTATGGTGGCCTTTTGTGATGTCTGGTAGACCTTGGAGAAAGCGACAATATGATGGGTTTTTGTGGTATCTGCTAGCCCTTATGGGAAATGACCATATTAATGGCTTTTGTTGTATCTGGTAGACCTTGAGGGATGTGACTACATGGTGGGCTATTGTGGTGCCTGGTAGACCTTGTGGGATGTGATCGTATGATGGGATCTTATGACGTCTGGTCGACCTTACGAAAATGACTGTATCATGGGCTTTTGTGGGGTCTGGTAGACCTTGTAGGACATGACCATATTAATGGCTTTTGTTGTATCTGGTAGACCTTGTGGGATGTGACTGTATGTTTGGCTGTTGTGGATGCCTGGTAGACCTTGTGGTATGTGATCATATGATGGGCTTTTGTGATGTCTGGTAGACCTTGTGGGATGGGTCTGTATCATAAGCTTTTGTAGCATCAGCTAACCTTTGGGGGAAATTACTGTGATGTCTGGTCATCCTTGTGAGATGTGACCGTCTGATTGCCTTTTGTGGTGTCTCGTAGAACGTGAGAAAAATGGGCAAATGCTGGGCTTTTGTGATGTCTAACAGACCTTGTGCGAAGTGACCATATGATGTGCTTTTGTGATGTCTGGTAGACCTTGTGGAAAGTTGCTGTAGAGGAGCTTTTGTGTTGTCTGGTAGACCTTGAGTGAAGTGACCATATGATTGGCTTTTGTGGTGTCTGGTAGACCTTGTGGGATGTGACCGTCTGCTTGGCTATTGTGACGTCAGGTAGACCTTGTGGGACATGACCATATGCTTGCCTTTTGTAGCGTCTGGTAGAACTTGTGTAAAGTGGCTATATGGTGGGTTTCTGTGACGTCTAGTAGACCTTGTGGGAAGTGACCATATGATGGGCGTTTGTGGCATCTTAGCCCTTATGGGAAATGATCATATCAATGGCTTTTGTGGCGTTTGGTAGACCTTGTGGGATGTGACTGTATACTTGGCTGTTGTGGTGCCTGGTAGACCTTGTGGGATGTGACCGTATGTTGGGCTTTTATTGTGTTTAGTAGACCTTGTGGTATGTGATCGTATGATGGGCTTTTGTGATGTCTGGTAGACCTTGTGAAAATGACTGTATCATGGGCTTTTGTGGGGTCTGATAGACCTTGCGGGATGGGTCCATATGATAAGCTCTTGTAGCATCAGCTAACCTTTGGGGGAAATTACTGTACTAGTGAATTTTGTGATGTCTGGTCATCCTTGTGGGATGTGACCATCTGCTTGCCTTTGGTGGTGTCTGGTAGGACTTGTGGAAAATGGCCATATGGTGGGCTTCTGTGATGTCTAATAGACCTTGTGGAAAGTGACCATATCATGGGTTTTTCTGATGTCTGGTAGACCTTGTGGAAAGTGACCATATCATGGGCTTTCCTGATGTCTGGTAGACCTTGTGGAAAGTGACCATATCATGGGCTTTTCTGATGTCTGGTAGACCTTGTGGAAAGTGACCATATCACAGGCTTTTCTAATGTCTGGTAGACCTTGTGGAAAGTTGCTGTAGGGAAGCTTTTGTGTTGTCAGGTAGACCTTGAGTGACGTAACCAAATGATGGGCTTTTGTGGTGTCTGGTAGACCTTGACTGACATGACCATATGATGGGCTTTTGTGGTGTCTGGTAGACCTTAAGGGATGTGACCTTATGCTTCATCAGCTAAGCCTTATGGGTAGCGACTGATCAACCTTGTGGGAATAAACCATATTAATGGCTTTTGTGGTGTTTGGTAGACTTTGCGGGATGTAACTGTATGCTTGTCTAATGTGGTGTCTGGTAGACCTTGTGAAAAATTGGATTTTGCGATGTCGGTTAGATCTTGTGGGCAGTGACCACATGATGGGCTTTTGTGGTGTCTGGTAGACCTTGTGGGAAGTGACTGTATCATGGGATTGTGTGGAGTCTGGGAGACCTTGTGGAATGTGACTTATGATGGGCTTTTGCAGCATCAGCTTATAGGAACTGACCATGACTGGCTTTTGTGGTGTCTGGTAGACCTTGTAGGAAGTGACCACATGATGGGCTTAACCCAAAAAATGTGAACTTGGATGAAATCCCACAGGTGACCCTCCATCTGCAGCAGATTTGTTCAGAGGAGATGGCATAAAGGCCATCAGATCCATTTCCTGAGTGAGGATATGTCAGTAATTAGGATCTATGGAGATCAGTATGCGGTCTCTCTTCTTTGGCTGTTAACTCAAAGGACATCGTTCTGCAGCTGTTAGGAGTACCTCAGCATCTCTTGTATTGGCTGCCTCCTTCCAAGTCATCACTCCTCTCTTTTCTGATCTTCTTTCAAATTCCAGGCAGATTAATTCTTATACCCAAAATTCACTAAACCCATAACAGGTGTGTGATTAATGGCAGTTCCCATAGTCACCTACGTAGCTCCATCCGTAGTTGGAAACTGTACCCACATCTGCTTAGTAAGGCCATCACCTTTGTTCTTCTATACAGAATAACATGCCGTTTAGGATCACTGTGTACAGCGCCACCTCTGGTGGAACACTTGGCTGTTCTCCTGAAGAAAAACCATTGTTGGTGAGAGCAGGAACGACTGTGCAGGACTCATTATTGAACAGAGGTACTACAGGGAGCAAAGTGTTTTATATAAAAAGGACAGGTCCTCTTATCTCATGGAGCTGTAGAACCCCACCAAGAAACAATTTTGCCAACTTGCCCGGAGATGATCCACGGTGAGAAGACCTCCCAGTCCTTTATCCCGCCATCCATCCTATAACATTTACCTCTCAAACCAAATCTCACAAGACTCTTTTCTCAGGATTTTTTTTTTATTGTCAAAACATTTTTATTTAAAAAAAAAATCTTACCCAGCGATTACAAGTAACAGTTAGATATTCCAATCGTACAAAACACGAGAGCGACAAATGATCGGGATCCCTTTGACGGAGTCTGGAGTCTGGGGGGGGGGGGACGACACACGCCATCACCCGTCACTCTACAGTTCCTGCATCCCGGACGAGTCCCCAATTTTCAAGATTTCCTGCATCCCGGACGAGCCCCCAATTTTCAAGATTTCCTGCATCCCGGACGAGCCCCCAATTTCAACAAATTAAAACTTGTCACCTACTGACTCAGGAGGAAGCATGGCTTCCAGAGAAGGGGGGGGACCTTCTGCTAGCAGTGGCCACACTCGCACACACATCCTGATGCCTCCCCTTCCCGAGTAGAGAAGGATTGGGGACACACTGACTCCCCTCTCCCAGTGGAGAAGGGGCGGTGACACACTGACCCCTCCCCCCCCCACCTCAGTCCAAGTATTATATGAAACAAAAGCAATTAAACTTGTAATATTAATGCTGCTTACACGCCAATCTAAATGGTGAACTGCAGAGTAGCAGCGACAGGTCCTCTTTCCTGTGCGTTTGCAACACACAGTAACTGGGAATAATTTGTATACGCCTGAAACTTTTCTAGAAAACACTAACTGGGGCCCCCGATATGCTAAATCGAGTGGAAGGGCCCCCATGAGCACACCTCACCCTACCCCAACGTATCAAATACAGTGCATCTTAACAGTTTGCGGTACAAAGTCAATGTGTAGCAAGACAATTTCTACAAACATACTGGATTTTTTTTTTTTTTTACCGGAGCCAAAAGAGAAAAAAAAAAAAAAAAAAATTAAAAGATTAAAGAAAGGAAGTCCTCCAAATTAAACCCGTTCACTGCCAGGGGCATTCGCTGCAACCACTGTATAGTCACTGGAAGATGGGGCAGGAGTTCTACGTGTAGTGCTGTATGAGTGAAAAGACTGGGCGTGGTCAGTGGGGCGTGGTCAGTGGGAGGGATCCAGTTATAGGCGGAGCTGGCAGATATGTGGTTGTATCTCCAGGATCCAGTTATAGAGGGAGTACCAGCAATGGCTAAAATCAACCCTCTGCCCCGTGTGTAGGGGACTTGACGCTCTCCGTCCCGGCTTCTCACCAGGCGACGGTCCTCCCTCTCGGACAAGATGGCGCCGGCGCGGCGTGTACAGCGCTTTAATAGTGTATAAATAAAGAGCTTGTTAATGAAGCCTAAAGGGGTCCCCCGGGGGGTACGGATTGGCTTTACACTGGAATGTCTGAGTTAGTCTGGTGCGTATGAATCCTGCCGCTAACAGTGAAGTTACAAATAATATATTTATATATAAATCAAAGAAAAAAAAAAAAAAAAAAATGTTGACTTTTTTTTTTTTTTTTTTAAATACTGGTATGAAGATGACTCTTTTTCTTTATAAAATCTCTTAACTCATTACAGAATAAATGGAAAAGACAGGCCAGTAAGAACACTCTAGAGATTAATAAACATCACTTCCAGGGTTTTTTTTTTTTTTTTTTTTCCTGTGTGACGGAAAAGATGCCATGGGCTCTCCCCGACACGTGCTGACACCCCCCCAGTTTCATAAGGAGGGGGGGGGGGGGGGGGGAAAGGGGTAAATCGGGGGATGGGTTGTGTGCGGATTACGGCGTGGGTTTTGTTCTCGTTAGATGAGAAGGCACGTGGTTTTCTTCTTGCCACGTCTGGCTTGCAGAGCCGCCCTTGTGGCCAGCTCGAAGACCTCTCGGACGCCATCTTTTGTCTTTGCCGAACACTCCATGTAGCCGTAAGCGGAGATCCTGTTGGCCATGTCGCGCCCCTCCTCCGGCTTGACCGGCTCCTGAAAACAAAGACATGGAGAGGGAATTAAATACGGAAAACTGATCAAAGATATAGAGAGTACAGCTGCTGTGAAAGACATTCTATACCAGGGGTCTCCAAACGACGTCCCGTGGACCGGATGTGGCCCTCTGCCTTTATCTGGCCCCTTGGGGCACACTTTTTGCCATACCTTCCACGTCACTCCAGTCTGTACTGTGTGATATATGCTATATACTCCACATCACTCCAGTCTGTACCCTGTGCTGTACGCTATATACTCCACATCACTCCAGTCTGTACCCTGTGCTGTACGCTATATACTCCACATCACTCCAGTCTGTACCCTGTGCTGTACGCTATATACTCCATGCCACCCAGTCTGTACCCTGTGCTGTACACTATATACTCCATGCCACTCCAGTCTGTACCCTGTGCTGTACGCTATATACTCCATGCCAATCCAGTCTGTACCCTGTGCTGTACGCTATATACTCCATGCCACCCAGTCTGTACCCTGTGCTGTACGCTATATACTCCATGCCACCCAGTCTGTACCCTGTGCTGTACGCTATATACTCCACATCACTCCAGTCTGTACCCTGTGCTGTACGCTATATACTAAATGCCACCCAGTCTGTACCCTGTGCTGTACGCTATATACTAAATGCCACCCAGTCTGTACCCTGTGCTGTACGCTATATACTCCATGCCACTCCAGCCTGTACCCTGTGCTGTATACTATATACTCCACATCAATCCAGCCTGTACCCTGTGCTGTATGCTATATACTCCACATCACTCCAGTCTGTACCCTGTGCTGTATGCTATATACTCCACATCAATCCAGCCTGTACCCTGTGCTGTATGCTATATACTCCACATCACTCCAGCCTGTACCCTGTGCTGTATGCTATATACTCCACATCACTCCAGTCTGTACCCTGTGCTGTATGCTATATACTCCATGCCACTCCAGCCTGTACCCTGTGCTGTATGCTATATACTCCACATCACTCCAGTCTGTACCCTGTGCTGTATGCTATATACTCCACATCAATCCAGCCTGTACCTTGTGCTGTATGCTATATACTCCACATCAATCCAGTCTGTACCTTGTGCTGTATACTATATACTCCACATCAATCCAGTCTGTACCTTGTGTGCTGTATGCTATATACTCCACATCAATCCAGTCTGTACCCTGTGCTGTACGCTATATACTCCATGCCACTCCAGTCTGTACCTTGTGCTGTATACTATATACTCCACATCAATCCAGTCTGTACCCTGTGCTGTATGCTATATACTCCATGCCACTCCAGTCTGTACCCTGTGCTGTATACTATATACTCATCAATCCAGCCTGTACCCTGTGCTGTATGCTATATACTCCACATCACTCCAGTCTGTACCCTGTGCTGTATGCTATATACTCCACATCACTCCAGTCTGTACCCTGTGCTGTATGCTATATACTCCATGCCACTCCAGCCTGTACCCTGTGCTGTATGCTATATACTCCACATCAATCCAGTCTGTACCTTGTGCTGTATGCTATATACTCCACATCAATCCAGTCTGTACCCTGTGCTGTACGCTATATACTCCACATCACTCCAGCCTGTACCCTGTGCTGTATACTATATACTCCACATCAATCCAGTCTGTACCTTGTGCTGTATACTATATACTCCACATCAATCCAGTCTGTACCTTGTGCTGTATACTATATACTCCACATCACTCCAGTCTGTACCCTGTGCTGTATGCTATATACTCCACATCACTCCAGTCTGTACCCTGTGCTGTATGCTATATACTCCATGCCACTCCAGCCTGTACCCTGTGCTGTATGCTATATACTCCACATCAATCCAGTCTGTACCTTGTGCTGTATGCTATATACTCCACATCAATCCAGTCTGTACCTTGTGCTGTATACTATATACTCCACATCACTCCAGTCTGTACCCTGTGCTGTATACTATATACTCATCAATCCAGCCTGTACCCTGTGCTGTATACTATATACTCCACATCAATCCAGTCTGTACCTTGTGCTGTATACTATATACTCCACATCAATCCAGTCTGTACCCTGTGCTGTATACTATATACTCCACATCAATCCAGTCTGTACCCTGTGCTGTATACTATATACTCCACATCAATCCAGTCTGTACCCTGTGCTGTATACTATATACTCCACATCAATCCAGTCTGTACCCTGTGCTGTATACTATATACTCCACATCAATCCAGTCTGTACCCTGTGCTGTACGCTATATACTCCACATCACTCCAGCCTGTACCCTGTGCTGTATACTATATACTCCACATCAATCCAGTCTGTACCTTGTGCTGTATACTATATACTCCACATCACTCCAGTCTGTACCCTGTGCTGTATACTATATACTCCACATCAATCCAGTCTGTACCCTGTGCTGTACGCTATATACTCCACATCACTCCAGCCTGTACCCTGTGCTGTATGCTCTATTCTGCAGTTTTTAAAGCTCTAAAAATCCTTACAATTTGAACTTTTTGAGCCTCATTCCCCTTCTCTCCTGTGCTGCATTGCCTTGCGTTTCCCACCTACTGTGGAACCGACGGGTGTGCACCACATAGCTCCGCCCATGCGGTTCCATATTTACCAACCTGTTTCATCTTCGTCAGTTCCCGGCGGGTGTGCTCGTCATTACGCAGGTCCTTCTTGTTCCCCACCAGGATGATGGGCACATTGGGGCAGAAATGTTTTACTTCCGGAGTCCACTTTTCGGGGATATTTTCTGTGGGGGGGGAAATAAAATCATCATCAGAGCTCAATGCCCCGGAGCACAGATAGGAGGATTCCTGGGGCCAGCTGCTGCATCGCCACATCTCTGCATTACATACCGATAGCTGAACTCCAGGACAGTCACACTCACAACACCCATCTTCCAGTCCGGACACTCCCCCCCCCCCCTTCCAGTCTGGACACTCCAGCCCGGACGCTTTCCCCCCCCCCCCTTTCAGCCCGGACGCTTTGCCCCCCCCCCTTCCCCCCCCGGCCCGGACGCTTTCCCCCCCCCCCTTTCCCCCCCCCCCCTTCCAGCCTGGACACTTTCACCCCCCCTTCCAGCCCGGACACTTTCACCCCCCCTTCCCGCCCGGACACTTTCACCCCCCCCTTCCCTTCCCCCCCCCCCTTCCAGTCCGGACACTTTCACCCCCCCTTCCAGTCCGGACACTTTCACCCCCCTTCCAGCCCGGACACTTTCACCCCCCTTCCAGCCCGGACACTTTCACCCCCCTTCCAGCCCGGACACTTTCACCCCCCTTCCAGCCCGGACACTTTCACCCCCCTTCCAGTCCGGACACTTTCCCCCCCTTCCAGTCCGAACACTTTCCCTCCCCCCCCCCCCCCCCCTTCCAGTCCAGGCCAATTTTCAGCTTTCAGCACTATCACATTTTGAATGACAATTGCGCGGTCATGCAACACTGTACCCATATGATTTTTTTAGCATTTTTTTGAGACAGCTAAAGCTTTATTTTGGTGGTATTTATTCACTGCTGGGATTTTTATCTTTTTTTTCTATGTAAATGAAAAAGTCCAAACATTTTGAAAAAAAAAAAAAGTGTTTTTCTTATAAAATTTTGTAAATAAATAATATTTCATCATGAATCTTGGCCAAAATTTATTTTATTATCTTTTTAAAAAAAAATAATAAAAAATAACCCAAAATTAGTTTATAACCAAAACTTATAAATATTATACTTTTTTTTTTTACACCATTTTATTTTTTTATATTATTTGTTTTTTGTGGGTTTTTTTTTTTTTACATACTGTCACCCTAGCAGTACAGTGTTCCGGCTCATTTCTGTGCAGAAATTATTGCAGCAGTGTCCAACATATTTTCTTTCATGCGAAACCTCAAAGTTTGGTGTACCGGGTCCATTGGAGTAACGGGAAAATGATTTGCATGCATTTTTCATGATGAAAAAAGGCCCCGGACAGCATCTGGAAATCGAAGAGTTAAAAATAAAATTTCCAAAACACAAACGATTATAAACGCGGTTAGCAGCGTTTACAAGCATTTGGAACGCTGATAAAATCTACTCCTGAACGCAAGTTTTCTGCGTTCAAAAAAACGCCTGTAAACAACGATGTGTACACGGACACATAGGAAAACGTTAGGGAGGGTTCAGGGGCTGCTGAAAAAAAAAAACGCAGAAAGGCTCCTAAACGTGAGTTTATCAGCTGCAGTGTACATGGAGCCTTAGGCCCGATGTACACGGAACACTTCTGAACGATGGAAACTGACTGCTGCAAAACGTAGGTTAAAAAAAAAAACAACAGTTTAGCCGCGTTTGCATACTGAGTTTAGAAGCGTTTTTTAAAGCTAACCTCAGGAGACCTTCCAAAATGCCCAGAATGCACTACTAACTATTTCAGACATTTTGAGAGGAAGAGAGAGCAGAGAGAGCGAGAGCAGAAGCAGAGCGAGGGCAGAAGCAGAGCGAGAGCAGAGCGAGAGCAGAAGCAGAGCGAGGGCAGAAGCAGAGCGAGAGCAGAGCGAGAGCAGAGCGAGGGCAGAAGCAGAGCGAGGGCAGAAGCAGAGCGAGGGCAGAAGCAGAGCGAGGGCAGAAGCAGAGCGAGGGCAGAAGCAGAGCGAGGGGCAGAAGCAGAGCGAGGGCAGAAGCAGAGAGAGAGCGAGGGCAGAAGCAGAGCGAGGGCAGAAGCAGAGCGAGAGCAGAAGCGGGGAGAGCGAGAGCAGGAGCAGAAGCGGGGAGAGCAGGAGCAGAAGCGGGGAGAGCGAGAGCAGGAGCAGAAGCGGGGAGAGCGAGAGCAGGAGCAGAAGCGGGGGAGAGCGAGAGCAGGAGCAGAAGCGGGGAGAGCGAGAGCAGGAGCAGAAGCGGGGAGAGCGAGAGCAGGAGCAGAAGCGGGGAGAGCGAGAGCAGGAGCAGAGCAGCGGGGGGAGAGCGAGAGCAGGAGCAGAAGCGGGGAGAGCGCGAGCGGGGAGAGCGCGAGCGGGGAGAGCGGGAGCGGGGAGAGGCGCGAGCGGGGAGAGCGCGAGCGGAGAGAGCGCGAGCGGAGAGAGCGCGAGCGGGGGGGAGAGCTGCGCGAGAGCGCGAGCGGGGAGAGCGCGAGCGGGGAGAGCGCGAGCGGAGAGAGCGCGAGCGGAGAGAGCGCGAGCGGGGAGAGCGCGAGCGGAGAGAGCGCGAGCGGGGAGAGCGCGAGCGGGGGAGAGCGCGAGCGGAGAGAGCGCAAGCAGAAGCGGGGGGAGAGAGCGCAAGCAGAAGCGGGGGGGGAGAGAGCGCAAGCAGAAGCGGGGGGAGAGAGCGCAAGCAGAAGCGGGGGGGGAGAGAGCGCAAGCAGAAGCGGGCGGGGGGAGAGAGCGCAAGCAGAAGCGGGGGGGAGAGAGCGCAAGCAGAAGCGGGGGGGAGAGCGCGCAAGCAGAAGCGGGGGGGAGAGAGCGCAAGCAGAAGCGGGGGGGAGAGAGCGCAAGCAGAAGCGGGGGGAGAGAGCGCGCAAGCAGAAGCGGGGGGGAGAGAGCGCAAGCAGAAGCGGGGGGGAGAGAGCGCAAGCAGAAGCGGGGGGAGAGAGCGCAAAGCAGAAGCGGGGGGGGGAGAGAGCGCAAGCAGAAGCGGGGGGGAGAGAGCGCGCAAGCAGAAGCGGGGGGGAGAGAGCGCAAGCAGAAGCGGGGGGGGAGAGAGCGCGCAAGCAGAAGCGGGGGGGAGAGAGCGCAAGCAGAAGCGGGGGGGAGAGAGCGCAAGCAGAAGCGGGGGGGAGAGAGCGCAAGCAGAAGCGGGGGGGGAGAGAGAGCGCAAGCAGAAGCGGGGGGGAGAGAGCGCAAGCAGAAGCGGGGGGGGAGAGAGCGCAAGCAGAAGCGGGGGAGAGAGCGCAAGCAGAAGCGGGGGGGGAGAGAGAGCGCAAGCAGAAGCGGGGGGAGAGAGCGCAAGCAGAAGCGGGGGGAGAGAGCGCAAGCAGAAGCGGGAGAGCAGAAGGGGGGAGGGGGCAGAAGCGGGGGGAGAGAGCAGAAGCGGGGGGAGAGAGAGCAGAAGCGGGGGGAGAGAGCAGAAGCGGGGGGAGAGAGCAGAAGCGGGGGAAGAGAGCAGAAGCGGGGGGAGCAGCATTTGTTGAGATTAGCCCCTCTCTCTTTTTTTTTTTTTTTTGTGGCGTTTGGATGTTCCGGCTCATTTCTGTGCAGAAATGATTGCAGCAGCATCTAACATTTTCTTTCATGCGAAACCTCAAAGTTTGGTGTACCGGGTCCATTGGAGTAACGGGAAAACGCTTTGCATGCATTTTTCATGATGAAAAAAGGCCCCGGACAGCATTCGTAAATGGAAGAGTTAACATTTTTTTTCCAAATGCAAACGCTTATAAATGCGTTTAGCCACGTTTGGAACACTGATAAAATCTACTGCTGAATGCAAGTTTTCTGCATTAAAAAAAAAAAAAAACACGCCTGTAAATGAAGATGTGTCCATGGACACAGAGGAAAACATTAGGGAGAGTTCAGGGGCTGCTGAAAAAAAACGCAGAAAAGCTCCTAAAAACGTGAGTTTATCTGCTGCAGTGTACATGAGCCCTTAGGCCAGGGGTAGGCAACCTGAGAGCCGCAGGACTACAAGTTCCATCATGCCTCTGCAAGTCATAGCTGTAACTGTCAGTTTCGTAATCTTTGCAATGCCTCGTGGGAAATGTAGTTCCACAACAGCTAGAGAGCCGCAGGTTGCCTACCCCTGCCTTACACCCTAGAGTGACCAATCATATTGCTGCTTTCATTTTCGCAGAGAATACAAGCTGACACCAGATTGGTCACTAGGGATGACATCTTCACATTTATTTAGATTTAGTTTTCTTTAGGACTTTTTTTTTTTTAATTTTCCCAAATTTGATATATTCAGATCGCCCCGCCCACTACGGCCAGGATCACCCGACACGTACCTAAACTGTCAGGGCTGTCGATGGAGAAGCACATTAATATAACGTCTGTGTCTGGGTAGGACAGAGGTCTCAGTCTGTCGTAGTCTTCCTGTCCGGCTGTGTCCCACAAAGCAAGTTCCACCTGTATGGAGGACAGAGAAGGATTATTGTCCGCACAGGGCCACACATGAACCTCGACCACCAATGTGAAGCCGCCACGTACCTGTTTACTGTCCACCTCAATGTCAGCCACGTAGTTCTCAAACACCGTAGGGACGTAGACTTCCGGGAACTGGTCTTTACTAAACACGATCAGAAGGCACGTCTTCCCGCACGCCCCATCTCCAACGATGACGAGTTTCTTACGGATGGCAGCCATGTCTGCGGACAGAGAAAATCGATCAATCAACGGCCCCACACACCTATCCACCAATGTCTGAGCCACAGCCGGAGTTCACATTCATCCTGCTGCAGGCCAATCCTTCTCACCCCCCCACATTATTATTATATATAGGATTTATATACTGCCAACAGTTTGCACAGCGCTTAATAAAACGGGGTGCCTCTAGACTGCCCATAATTTTAAAAAGGGCACCCCGTTCTAAGATGTGAAAAACTATTCTAATAGGTTTATATATAACGCAGCACCCAGGACACCCAACATTAGAAATGATTTATTCTTCCAAAGCAAATACACTTCTGCACACTGGTACTGACTAGTATCCCATTGTTTCTCCTCCCCCTCGGTTTTTTCTCCATCACTGAGCTGATGTGACCCCCAGCACTGACGGAGAGCAGCAGGGGAGGGTCAGACTAGGTTGCTGTGCAGGAAGCGGACATTCTCCTTATCAACTGATGATGTCCTTGGTTGTCAGGATGTCAGCGGCTAGAAGGTCGTAATGGTGCGTAATGAAAACATGTGGCTTTGTGCAACTAAAAGGCGGATTTGTTCCATCCGTTGGCATGTATACAAGTTTTAGGGCAATTTTTAGACATCTTGCCAAGGCACCCCTAAAGAAACCTCAAGGGGCACCCCTAAAGAAACCTCAAGGGGCACCCCTAAAGAAACCTCAAGGGGCACCACTAAAGAAACCTCAAGGGGCACCACTAAAGAAACCTCAAGGCACCACTAAAGAAACCTCAAGGGCACCCCCCCGAAAGAAACCTCAAGGCACCCCCGAAGAAACCTCAAGGCACCCCCGAAGAAAAACCTCAAGGCACCCCCGAAGAAACCTCAAGGCACCCCCGAAGAAACCTCAAGGCACCCCCCGAAGAAACCTCAAGGCACCCCCGAAGAAACCTCAAGGCACCCCCGAAGAAACATCAAGGCACCCCCGAAGAAACCTCAAGGCACCCCCGAAGAAACCTCAAGGCACCCCCGAAGAAACCTCAAGGCACCCCCGAAGAAACCTCAAGGCACCCCCGAAGAAACCTCAAGGCACCCCCGAAGAAACCTCAAGGCACCCCAGGTTGAGAAAGGCTGCTTTAGATACACTGTCAGAGAAGGTTAACACAGGTGGACTGGTTCACCGCAATGTAATCCTTTCTTGTGAAATCAGTGATGTGAGAAAACACCAGCGAACCCCAGGAAATGGTTTTTCACCAGCAATATGGAGTGAGTGTACCCGCCACACGCCGCAGTCACCCCCTCTGATCATCAGTGCGACCAATGAATCAACAAGGGGTCAACCCGGTGCTAGCGAGGTTACAAATCTGTGTCATTGAGCCGGACAGCATCCTGCAGTCTGCATACAGTCCTATATAGGTATATAGTTAGTCTGGCTGAAAAAAAAAAACAAAAGTCCATCCAGATCAACCATCAAAAATAAAAAGTTATAAAATCCTATACCCACAGCTGATCCAGAGGAAGGCAAAAACACCCAGCAAAGTACGATCCAATTTGCTCCTGCAAGGAAAAAACTTCCTTCCTGATCCCCGAGAGGCAATCGGATATTCCCTGGATATGAAGCAGAGATTGGCGTCCTCAGAAGAGCGAGATCCGACAAGGCCCCGATGCGTCCGCTCCGCAGAGCGGATCATTCAGCCTTCTAAATCCTTTCCCATTTTGTATTCATAGCCTAAAGGGGCTTCAGAGGTCTCCTTCCTGACCAGGAGGAGGACAGACTTCAGCTTTTTTCCTGGCTATAACCAGCTCTATCAATGTTCACAAAGACACACCAATCCGCCGTATGCCCACCGCACCAAGCCAAGGCCAGCCGAGCCCAGAGACAGGTAGTCAACCCGTCTCCATCTCAGCCGAGACCTTCCAGCCTCTAATGCAGGGGTGTCAAACTCCATTTCATCGCGGCCCGAACCAGCATTATGGTTTCCCTCAAAGGGCCGGTTGTATCTGTAAGAATAGATATCCAGATCATCCAACCCCCCCATTACGTCAGATGTCAAGAATCCCACACCCTCCCTAAGATCACTGGAAAGCAGAAAGTGCAGGGTCTGGAGGAGGACCAGAGGAGGACTGGAGTCTTCTGAGACCAGAGGCGGCAGAGATGAGGGGGTGCTGCAGCTGCACTGAGAGGTGCAGGATTTGACAGAGGAGTTCTATTCTCCTCTCTGCTGCCAACTGCTGAGACAAGGTGGGGGCGGAGAGACAAGGGGGTACCTGCAGGAGAGGTGCAAGGGCCACATGAAATGGCCTGGAGGGCCAGATTCTGCCCACGGGCCTTGTGTTTGACACCTGTGCCCTAACATATGATGTACATGGGCCTTCCCAGATGCTGAGGTTTACACATTCGCCCTTTCGCTGCCAGAACCGGTTTTTGCATTTTTTTTTTGCACACATTTAAAAAAAAATCATTTTAGGCCTGAAGATGACACAAAACCCCCCAAGCATGATATTTTCTGAAAGCAGAGACCCTAGAGAATAAAAATAGTAGTAGTTCCAATTTTTTATATCACACGATATTACCGCGAAGGTGTAGGAAACGCAAAATTTCAGTTAAAAAAAAAAAAAAAAAAAAACACACTAAAGTAAATTTTAAGGCAAACAAATGCAATAAATTAGCCAAATTTTTGGTACAACATAAAAGATGAGGTTGTGCCGAGTAAATAGATACCAAACATGGCAAACCTTAAATTTGCGTGCGTCTGTGAAATGGTGACAAACTTCAGTACCGTATCGGCGATGCTTCAAAAGCCCATAAAGGTTGTTAGTTAAGTTTTTACAGAGGAAGTCTGTTGCTAGAATGATTTCTCTCACTCCGGTGTGCGCGGCAATAGTATAACATGTTACACGTTACTGGGGGCTGTGGACTGCTTCCACTTCTAACTTGCTGTCCATGATGAAATAGCAGACGAGGTAAACGCACGTGGTCAGAATAGCACCAGTTACACAGCTCCCGATGTACACAGGACGATGTATTTTGACACACTGACTTATGAAGATCAGTGCTCCCTGTGACTGTGCGTGCTGCCATCTGTTGGCATATTACGAGACTTGTCTCAAAACGTTTTGATACCACCTTGTGTCATTGCTGTCTGCTCCCTCCTACCTCTGTCAGTATAAGTGACTTACTGACCAGTGTTCAAGAGGGGGGGGGGGGATTATCAAGAGGAGGGAACTAGGGGAGAGGGGGCAGAGGAAGGGGGTAGGGAGGTGAGAGAGAGGAGGGGGGACAGAGAGAGGGAGGGGGTGAGAGAGAGGGAGGCGGAAGGAGGGGTAGGGAAGGGAGAGGGGGGGAGGGGGAGGAAAAGAGAGAAGGGGGCGAGGGGGGATCGGGGGAGAGAGGAGAGAGGGGGAGGGGGAAGAGGGGAAGGGGAGAGAGATGAGGGGGAGGGAGCGAGGGAGGGGGAGGGAGATAGGAAGAGAGAGGGGGAGATAGGAGGGATGGGGGGGGGTGTAGAGAAGGGGGGGGGGAGGAGAGAGATAGGGGGAGAGGGGTGGAGAGAAGGGAGAAGAGATAAAATAGGAAAAAGGAAGACAGGGGTGAAAGGAGCGAACGATAGTTAGGAGGGAGCGAGGGGGAGAGGAGATAGGAGGGAGAGGGGGAGGGGGAGGAGAGATAGGAGGGAGGTTTAGGATGGGAGAGAGAGTAGGGAGGAAAAGGGGAGGGGGGGAGATAGGAGGGGAGAGGGGGGGAGACGGAGAGGACTGGAGGTTGGGAGGAGGGGGTGAGTAGGTAGGACGAGAGAAGTTGGGGGGGGGAGAAGTGAGGAGAAAACTTGTGATCTTGTAGGAGAGGGAAGATTTGATTTCTAAGGAAACGGGAGGTGGACGAGAGAGGGGGAGTTTCCTGGTGACAAAAACTTCTTGGGGGGAGTTGAGATGGAGAAAGAAAAAGATAAAAGAATGAGAGAGTTTTTGGGACAAAGAGGAAAAAAAGCAGGAGCGGAAGAGCTCTGAAACTATTAAGGAGAGGAGGGAGAGAAGAGGGATAAGGGTGGGGAAATCAATTGATTTTTTTCTTAGAGGAAACTTGAGATGTTTAAAAGTTCCTCAGCTTTTCAACAAAAAGGAGGGCTAAAAGTTTTTGGAGTCTCTTCTTTGACAAAAGTGCTATTTTTCGTTGGAAACAGAGAAAAGAGGGACGAAAAGAAAAAGGAGGCGAGAATAAAAAGAGTTAAGGGGGGAAAAGAAAAGTGTCTCTTTGTTTGTTTACTCTCGCGTTTCGAAAGCCGACCTGTAGGAGCGATGCTGACTGATCGGGTGGACTTGAACCAAAATCTATTAGAACTTAGTGAGTTGCGATAGGCTGAGGGAAGTTCCCGGGTCATGGCATTCAGAATAAAAGTCAAAAAAAAGGAAAATGAGAAGAGAGAAACAATGTCAGAAAGGTAGATAAAAATGAACGATACATAACTCCTGGGGACTGGTGATTCTTTTGTTCTAAAGAATACAAGCTCGGGAAATAAATGAAAGGTGAAGGGGGGAGAGATGCATATATAACATTCGGTGAGATAAAAGGGTTCCCAGCCCTTTACTGGCAATCACAAAGTAAGATGTCGACGGAAAGGGAAGATCCCTAAAAGTCTTGCAACCCCCCAAAAAAAAAAAAAAAAATTACTCAAAATAAAAACCCTCGAGGACTGATGGTATCGAATAAATCCAAGTAAGATAGTATAACGGTATGGGCTCAAGAGTGTTCCCTCATTCGTATGGATTGCTGGCTGACCACCAGCTTTTTCGTACAGGCACTGAAAGAGATCTTAACTCTGCCCCGTCCTTAGGAGAGGACGGCCGCTCCTCGTTTTGTACAGGCGGGCAACAAAAATCGCCCCCCCCTTCACTGATCTTCCTCTCTCCATGACCACCTAATTTTACTCCTGGAAACGGTGCCAGAGAGCGGAAGAAGAACAATCAGGGAGGCCGTATAGGAAGACGAGAGCGATAGCACCGTGTCCCAGGACAATCTAACTAGAACGATG